GCCACCATGCCCGGCTAATTTTTTCTATATACATGTTTTTTTAGTTGTCCAGATCATTTCTTTCTATTTTTTAGTAGAGACGGGGTCTCACTCTTGTTCAGGCTGATTTAGAACTCCTGACCTTGAGCGATCCACCCGCCTTGGCCTCCCAGAGTGAATTTCTTGATATTAAATTGAATCCATTTCTCTAGTGCTGATTTTTTAATATTTAGGGACTGATGAAATGTAATTAAAAAGTCAGATATTTAGACAAGGAAGTTGTATGTCCCATTTCTTTTTGCTTCCTTTATAAGCTGAACCCTTGGTGTGAACTCTTTCTCTGTTCATATTTTATTTTGTAGGTGGTAGACTTGCTGTTGGCTCGAGGTGCAAATAAAGAACATAGGAATGTGTCTGATTATACACCACTGAGTCTAGCAGCATCTGGAGGATATGTTAATATCATTAAGATTCTGCTTAATGCTGGGGCAGAAATTAATTCAAGGTATCACCTGTTCATTTTATTACTCATGATTATTAAGTTACTACCTTACAGTTAAGTTTCTACCCTTTAAATGTTTGTACAGATACCATTTTAAATTCAGATAGTACTAAAGTTGCAAAGCCAACAGTTTTTCCTATAATGTGCTTATAAGTAATACCAGCTTATTTTAGTAATGTGGCTGCTTTTAAAGAGGTCTCATTTCAAAAAGTACTCTGTTATGTGTAGTTGGAAATGTTATATTATATAGTTGGAAATCTCTAAATAGGGATTATGTTTTAAATTTTGAGATTTAAAATATAAATAATATTTAAAGAGATTTAAAATAATAAAGAATAGGAATTCTTTATTATTGGTCTAAACAAAATCTGTTCGTTGGTGTTACAAACCCTTCTTTTTAGTGAAATGTTTTCATCTTTAATGCTTTTTAAAAATAATAGGCAACATATTATTTTAATTTTCTAAGCACATTTCCCCCCTTAGGACTGGGAGTAAACTAGGTATTTCTCCCCTGATGTTGGCTGCAATGAATGGACATGTTCCTGCAGTGAAACTGCTGCTTGATATGGGTTCGGATATTAACGCCCAGATAGAGACGAATCGGAACACAGCTCTCACCCTGGCCTGTTTCCAGGGCCGAGCAGAAGTAGTGAGTTTGCTTCTGGACCGAAAAGCCAATGTTGAACACAGGGCAAAGGTAAGCATTTTATAACTTGTCAACTATTTCAGATATATTTCTAGTAGAAAGAACATGGCATTTCAACTCAAATTGAATGTAATATTTTAAATTGTCATAAGTTAAAACTGATAAGCTCAAGGCAGGACTAGGGAATTATGCTATTTAGTGATCAGTGATATTCTATCACCATTCATGGCAGTTTGCAACTTTTGAATGTAGTAAGATTATTTCGTATTAGTCTTATAATGTAGATTTTTAAAGAACTTCTTTAATGAGGTGTGTGCTTACTATTGGTAAAAACCCCAAGCAAAAAATTAGTTCATAGATTATAAAATTAGGACAGCTAAAATCTAATCTGACTATGACAGATTCTGACAGTTGCATGACTATTTGACATTTAGAAAATAGGAGTTAGTATGTCAGTGATTTGAATGTCTTTGCTTAGAACTGTTAGATATTTAGAACCCTAGAAAAATGTAGCTTAATTGGAATATAATCAGAGAACAGCCAATTTGGTAGTCATTTCAAATTGGAAAGGTTTCTCCTTGAACTTCCTTGGTTATATTTCTTTTTTTTTTTTTTTTTTTTAACTAAAATAATAGAGA